AAGCAGATATTTTCTTCATCGATATTTTGTCTCGTTTCCTCCGATGATCGATCTAACGTCGTACATCTTTTATCCAAGTACATAGCGAGTGAATCTATCGTTAGCTACAAAATCACAACAAACAACTTCTCACGGAAATATACGTGGCAGAGTCGCGTTGATCTTACATGGATTTTCATCATCGATAGTATGAATATTTTGGATTTTTTTGTACACAAACAAAGCCATATCTGGAAGGCTGTTAATCAGTATTTAATAATTGTCACCACTCCAAGCACGATTTCGTCGCAAGAGATTTTTCAGACAGTTTGGAAGATCTACGGTGTCTATAGAATCGTCATTATTTCGATAGAAGACGACTTTCGATGTCTAAGAAGATACCTACCGTTCGAAAAGAATCAACAAAACAAATACGGCGTCATACGTAAGATTTGTTTAATGGACCAGGGAGATAATGTCGAGCTCTATACCAACTTTGAGAACTTGAACGGATATCCTATACACGTGGTCATGTTCTCACCTTGGAAAGTTACATTCGACAATGGTACGAATCGTTCGAGTGGTATTCGAAATTCCAACGAACTGGACACGAAAGCGAAGTGCTTGTTGGAGCAAGCAATGAGGACTGAGTTTCATATCACTGAACTTCCTGATTTGGTCAACTCATTTAACGGAAGTTATGATCCATTTCATCGTGCTCTTCAATACATTGAGGATGGTGAGTCGGAGATAATCATTATTAGTTTCTTTGTTCACCAATATGAGGGATATCGAAGGTACGAATTCACAGCTAGCCTTTATGAGGACAAGCTATGCTTGATCGCACCCACAGCTGGTTTCGTGCCGAAATCACATATGCCAATAATGTCATTCGCGTCTAATCTGTGGGTGGCTCTCGCGATATACAATATTCTCGTGTCCGTTCTATGGTTCCTCATAAAATACTACAGCGTTTCGTTTCGTCGACGAAAGACCGTTCTCCTCCCTCTAACAAAAACGACAGGATACGTTCTTTCACAGCGATCTACGGATTTACCACTGAAAATACATCCTTACGTTTCGTCATGCTTCGATCTCGTCGAAACCTCGTGTTACCCGTTGAAGGAGGACAGTGGTAGCGCTGGTAGCACGACCGCTCAGAGAGCCTTTTTGATCGGTACGCTTTTCTTCGGACTCATCGTCACCAGTCTCTATCAAAGTTGTCTCATGTTCAGCTTGAGCAATCCCTTTCATTATCCTGAATTAAATACTTTGGAAGATGTCGCTTGCTCGAATTTCACTATCATTACCAAGTATAACAACTTAAAGAAGAATACATTTTTGGGAAATACCCCTCTGGATAAAAAATTGCGGGGTAAAGTTGAATTATTAATTTCTGAAAAACCTACCTACGACCACGTGGCCTTTGACAAGGGAATGATCGGTATCGCCCGTTACTCGTTGGTCAACTTGGAAGACATGTCTAGGTATTACGATGTAGACGGCAACGATCTGCTCCATATAGTCGAAGAATGTCCGACCACTTTCATGTTGTCGTACATAATGAGGCTTCACTCACCTTACCGAGAAAGAATCAACGGATTACTGCTACGAATGCAACAAATGGGTTTTGTTCGTCTCTGGTATGAGCAAGTGGCTTATCCGCCGTACGTGGCTGAGCAGAAAAGAAAGATGGACAAGAGCGAGAGAAAGATTAAACTGACTATGGAGCATTACTCTTTTACTTTCATCGGGCTTACGATTGGTTTACTTTCTTGCATCCTGGTGTTTCTCGCAGAAATTTATTTCGCCAAGAGGTCATCATACAAGTCACTGTTTCTTCAGTAAATCATCGTTACATTACCTATAGTTCATGTTGAGTACACGAAGGCTGCGTTCAGCAGAAAAAGCAGCTTTGCAACTGTTGTAAGATTCTTAAATATGATTGATTTATACATTTAGATACAATAAGGAACTAAGATTAATATTAAAGAATTTTACAACAGTTGCAAAGCTGCTTTTTCTACTGAATGCGGTAAAGACTGCTATATATTAGCATAATTTATATTAGCTTAATTTCACTTTCAATTGAAATTATCTCTATGAGCCTTTTCCTCAGTAATTATTTAAACATTCAAGTACAATTTCAAATTTTTATTTTAATTACAAAAAATTTTGTATTTGATAAATTGGCTCGCATACATACATTTATATATTCTCGCATGACAGTGCCAGATTGGATCGCGATAGTTCGATCAACAGCTGTTTCATTCACAACGCTCTCGAGCATAAAATATGTTATCAGTTATGTTATCTATTGATTGTCCAAAAAAAAGTCCTCTTTTCACGATGTAATTGTTGAAGTAATGATATCGCGCTAACGAGTGGATGCTAAAGTAATATTCTAAAGAGAAACCGAGTTTATTTTAAGAATCTACGAAAATACGCACAACGAGTCTACGCATCTCTCTCTCTCTCTCTCTCTCTCTCTCTCTCTCTCTCTCTCTCTCTTGATGAAGAAGAAGAAGAAGAGGAGAAGGATGAGGAAGAAGTTCAGTCGTGGGTCGTTGCTCGATTATAGAATCATGGCTCTTAAAAGATGTGCACTATTGCCAGCGATTGTAATCACTATTTGTT